ACCAGTGATCGTCTATAAGGACCCAAATGGATCCATGAGTGTCGTCGGGGGTTGGTCAGTCAGGGAGCTTAGTTAATAAGCGCCAAGACTGACCAATCCTTATAGACGATCATTGGTGCGGTGGTCACGGTACTGTGTACGTTTAGGGGTGATCCTGGACGGCATGGGTTCGAATCCTGGCCGGGTCAAAGAGTTCTTAGTGATATATATATATATATATATATACATATATACATATATATATATATATATATATATATATATATATACATACATACATATATACATATATATGCAATTGACGATCACAAAACACTGATCATTTTATGCGGAAAATCCACAGAGAAATATGAAATGAGGTGAACGTTTCGGCTTTGTTAAATATATATATATATATATATATATATATATATATATATATATATATATATATATATATATATAAATAACTATATTAAAAATTGCATAGGTACGTAATGTTACTTAATTGTGGGTGCTTTGTAAGTGAAGTGTAGTTTAGTAGAGGTCCTCAGTAGGAGTTTACTAGTGAGTGTTTACACCAGAGGTGACTCCGCTCTCGTCTCATCCTGGCTCCAGCTCTATAACCTTCTCCTTAACTCAAGTTGCAAAACCGTCCGATGTAGATAATTGTTTATATATAATAATAAATGGGACGTGTTGCACGTGTATCATGTACAGAAAGCTTCATGGACACACACTATGTGTCCTATGAGAAGACCGTTGATCGTGCGGACGAGAGAAAGTCCAGCGTGTGTGGAGGTAGTTGGGACACTGGTGTCGCAGTGTCCCCCTGGTGTGTGAGGGCAGGATGGTCCGTGCTGGACACATAGTCTCGGGACCTCAGGTGCACCTTTCACATGCCGTCATCACAGCTTCCCTCCTCCTCCTCCTCTCCCTTGTAAACCAAATACCCAGCACCCGCAGACGCTCCCGCGACCTGCTCAACACCGCAGACATGTTGAGGCAGACAAGACAACCTTCCACAAGCTCTTCCTTTTTAATAAGACCACATATTCTGCGGTTATCTTGCTGAGTTGTCCTTGGTCCTACACTTTGGTCGTAAGCTTTACCAAGTTATAGATCACTGAAATGGGTGTCTCCACAGTCACACCATGTTACTGTATCCTTATAAATCCTACACTTATCCTAAGTGTATTATACTGGCCTCCGTAAGTGATCACTGCACTTACTGAATTTAACATGGAAATCTACCATAGCTAGATACAATTTGCAGCGGTTGCTGGTTCTCAGAATTCATGTTTTCACATTAAAATTGGCGTAGTGACTTGAGGGGATCTGGCGGCATGTCTTGATGATAGTGGCGCACCACACAACCTTCTTGAGACGAGGCGCAGGCGCAGGTGTCGGTACTTACCTGCCAGGTGATTACCCACCTTGCTGGCTCTCTTTTATTTCAGTGGTGTCGGTGGCTTCCGGTCGGGAACATCTTATTTAATAGTTGTCCTATCGCAACGCTGCATTCTCTTCCGCAGTGAACATTCTCTTCCGCAGTGAACATTCTCTTCCGCAGTGAACATTCTCTTCCGCAGTGAACATTCTCTTCCGCAGTGAACATTCTCTTCCGCTGTGAACATTCTCATCTGCAGTGAACATTCTCTTCCGCAGTGAACATTCTCTTCCGCAGTGAACATTCTCATCTGCAGTGAACATTCTCTTCCGCAGTGAACATTCTCTTCCGCTGTGAACATTCTCATCTGCAGTGAACATTCTCTTCCGCAGTGAACATTCTCTTCCGCTGTGAACATTCTCATCTGCAGTGAACATTCTCTTCCGCAGTGAACATTCTCTTCCGCAGTGAACATTCTCTTCCGCAGTGAACATTCTCTTCCGCTGTGAACATTCTCATCTGCAGTGAACATTCTCTTCCGCAGTGAACATTTTCTTCCGCAGTGAACATTCTCTTCCGCTGTGAACATTCTCTTCCGCAGTGAACATTCTCTTCCGCAGTGAACATTCTCTTCCGCTGTGAACATTCTCTTCCGCAGTGAACATTCTCTTCCGGGATTGTTATTTGCGGCACTCTTCCCCTGAGTGACAACAAGGAAATAACGTGTACAGTTGGAGAGAGAGAATCAATCTGGGCGGAGCCTGGTAATGTGGCTGTGGTCACTGTGAACGTCACTTCTCTCCGGGTGTAGAGCACAGTGAAATATTTAGTAGTTGTTGTGGTGGCAGGAGGAGGACGTCGGCATGCACCGTAGACAGTCACAGTCAGCATGTACCGTAGACAGTCACAGTCACAGTCAGCATGTACCGTAGACAGTCACAGTCAGAAGCGGCATGTACCGTAGACAGTCACAGTCAGCATGTACCGTAGACAGTCACAGTCAGAAGCAGCATGTACCGTAGACAGTCAGTCAGAAGCAGCATGTACCGTAGACAGTCACAGTCAGAAGCAGCATGTACCGTAGACAGTCACAGTCAGAGGCAGCATGTACCGTAGACAGTCACAGTCAGAAGCCAGGTCTCCAGCTGGAGAAATGTAACGAGTGGGTCCCCAAGGATCGGTCTTGGGACCACTTCTGTTCGTAACTTATGTTAATGATGTACTCGAGGGAGTGAGCTCGTACATGTTAATGTTTGCGGACGATGCCAAGACAAATAAGAATGTAAAAACAGAGGAGGATTGCAGAATGTTACAGAATGATCTTAACAAACTCCAAGAGTGGACAAACAAATGGTTGCTGGAGTTCAATCCTAATAAGTGTAAGATAATAACGAGGGGGCAGGGAGAAAGAAGACCAGAAGGTGTCTACACCATTAATGAAAGACAATTGCAAGAATCTGAGAGGGAGTTTGGGAGTGGATATAATTCCCTCCCTAACACCAGAGGCACACACAGGCAGGATGACATCAGCAGCACATGGGACGCTGGCAAACATTACAACGTCGTTTAGAAACATAAATCAAGACGCGTTTAATTCACTCTACACAGCTTTTGTTAGACCAGTGCTAGAATATAGAGCACCTGCTTGGACTCCATGCCTTGTCAAACAAAACTAACATAAAACAGAACAGAGATTTGCCACTAGATAAGTACCAGAGCGTAAAGGGTATAGTTATGAGGACAGGCTGAATTAACTGACTCTCACAACCTTGGAGGACCGAAGAAATAGAGGAGATATGATGATAACAACGTACACGATACTGAGCGGAATAGACAAGGTGAACACGAGCAATCACTGTAAGTTGAGAGACCGTAGTACAAGAAGACACAGGTGCAAGCTGGAAATCACAAATGAGTGTAAGAAATGTAAGGAAATACTCGTACCCTGTACAAGTGTCGTGTTGTTGTTGTGAAGAAGTTGTGCAAGCCGCCTCCTTCACAACTTTAAGATATTGTATGTCACAATAATGAAGCATTATTATTAGTTTTGCTTTTATTATGTATATATACGAGAGTTTTGACATTGGTGTAAAGCCACTAGCACGCGTAGCGTTTCCGGCACCTTCTTAATGCTATTTTTGTCTCCGGAATACGACCCGCCAAATGGTTTAACAACCAGGTAGCCATTCTCTGCTGGGTGAACAGAGGCTACATTTAAGGATTGGCGCCCGGTCAATCCTCCCCGGCCAGGATACGAACCCATGCCAAAGCGCTGGGGAAGCGCCGGGCGAGTGCTTGACAACTACGCCACGGGGACTGCTTACACAACAGGTATAACAAGGCTAGTAGGCGGGGCATAATGAACTAGACCTCAGTCACCCACTTGGGTTGGACGGTAGAGCGACGGTCTCGCTTCATGCAGGCCGGCGTTCAATCCCTGACCGTCCAAGTGGTTGGGCAACCATTCCTTCCCACCGTCCCATCCCAAATTCTTAACCTTCCAAGTGCTATATAGTCATAATGGCTTGGCGCTTTCCCCTGATAATTCCCTCCCTCCCTCAGTGAGAGGAAAGTACTGGTAGGCAAGTACTGGTACTGGCGGTAGGTAAGTGATCATATGTAGCGTGCTCGGAGCCTCAGTCTGCTCTCTCCATTCTTCACACTTACCTTCCCTTACTTTTCTTAATGTAATTATATTTTTAAGATTTTGTTAATAAATGCGTATGTATATGTACTCACCTATTTGTGCTTACAAGATCGAGTTTTAGATCTTGGACCCCGCCTTTGCAGCCTGACTTATTTTTCTACCATTCCTACTTTATTCCATTTTTCTACTACTCCCACGCTAAATGAAAACTTCCTAACATCTCTATGGCTCATCTGTCTCAAGTGTCTATTCGTGCTCTATTGTTCTATTGGGATTCAGAAACACTTCATTTTCCACTGTCATCTTCCGTGAGTGTTTTCCACGTCTCTATCATGTCTCCTATCTCTCCTCTTGTCTAGTTCTTTAAGTCTCTTTCACTTGCAAACCTCTGAAAAATTTCATTTCTTTTTTAGACGAGGGGTCTCCGATGGTTGACACAGACGGTCTACAGTGATCTAAATGTCTACTTATTGAGATTTCTGAATGGTGTTCTAACTTTGCCAGTTTATAGAATGTTGCCGACGTTTTTCCTCTGAAATTTGCCTCTGGAGTTGGGCTTGGTGTTTCATCCACTCTCAGGTCATTTATGTAATCGTTACAGAGGTAGTTTTACTTAACTGTGTACCGTCGTGGTGGTCTGTCCCCATTTTCATCACCTTACACTTCGTGGTGTTGAAATCAAGTAGTCATATCTTGAACTAACTCTGCAGCTTGCTCAAGTTCTCTTGGAGTATATTACAATCCTCGTCTGTCTCGACTCTTCTCATTAATTTAACATGGCATGCGATCATGGACTTGTAGGGCTCAACATATTAAATAAATGAGAACTAGTTCGTGTTGTGGTAAGTATTCTTAAGGAAGTCGCTTCTCTACCTTAGTCCGACTTGTCGCTGCTCACAGTGACGACTGTCCGGTGGGTGCTTTGTCAGCCACTCTCGCCAGAGTCGCTAGTCTGGGTAGCAATCTTCCAGCCGGAGGAATATAATGTTGGGCCGTGAGTCACGTCCAGGTGAGTACTCACCAAGTGGTGGTACCCTCAGCATCACCCTGTTCACACAGCTGGCCAGGCGGTGAGAGGGCTGCAGATGGTGCAGTGCTCAGCCTCCACCTGTGAGGTTGGTGCAGGGGGGATGGGGGGGGGGATCACAACACCCACACTCGTAGGTGTATGTGTTTATGTGCGTGTATTAGTGACCCAGACACCAAAGGGCACACCATAGAGCCATACGAGGTTATCGCGTGAAATAATTACACAGGCAAACAATATTCCATTCCTTATTGTAAACTGTTAATATTCAGGTATGGGCACACAGATGGGTCTGAATATTAATATGGAAAGTAGGAAGGTATACTTTCATGCGGGAAAAACAAGATTCTAGTTTCGTGGTACACGAGTAAGTTTGGGTGACCGCACGACATGTGAGCGAAGGGGGTCACGTTTTGGTCTATATGCTAATTTAGTGAGATGACGGGTAGTCAGCTGCATAATATGACCGTGTCGCTAGTAATGGAGTTGTTTGTTGCATCCTGCTCTATAAACACCTCTCACACTTATATGAGCACTATATCTAGCTGTTACACACACACACACACAATGGCTACTAAAGTTCAACCCGAGTAAATGTAAGGTAATGAAGCTAGGTGGTGGAAACAGGAGGCTAGACAGAGGATACAGAATGGGAGATGAAGTCCTTCATGAAACGGACAGAGAGAAAGTTCTAGGATTTAATATCACACTAAACCTGTCTCCTGAAGCCCACATAAAAAGAATTACATCTGCGGCATATGCGAGGCTGGCTATCATGAGAACAGTCTTCAGGAACCTGTGTAAGGACCTTACACAGGTTCCTGAAGGCTGGGAACCTTACTCATTCAGAACCTTGTACACAGCATTTGTAAGACCAATCCTGGAGTATGCGGCCCCAGCATGGAGCCCGTACCTTGTCAAGCACAAGACAAAGCTGGAAAAAGTTCAGAGGTATGCTACTAGACTAGTCCCAGAACTAAGAGGCATGAGTTACGAAGAAAGGCTGCGTGAACTGCACCTTACGACACAGAAAGACAGAAAAGTAAGGGGAGACATGATCACTATCTACAAAATTCTCAGATGAATTGAGAGGATAGATCAGGATAAACTTCTTAACACGGGTGGGACGCGAACAAGGGGACACAGGTGGAGACTGAGTACCCAAATGAGCCACAGGGACGTTAGAAAGAACTTTTTCAGTGTCAGAGTAGTTAGTAAATGGAATGCATTAGGCAGTGATGTGGTGGAGGGTGACTCCATACACAGTTTCAAGTGTAGATATGATAGAGCCCAGTAGGCTCAGGAATCTGTACACCTGTTGATTGACGGTTGAGAGGCGGGACCAAAGAGCCAGCGCTCAACCCCCGCAAACACAGTATACAGTGTTGCGTCACTTGGTGTACCATATTACCTCACTTGGTGTACCATATTACCTCACTTGATGAACCTTATTACCTCACTTGGTGTACCATATTACCTCACTTGGTGTACCATATTACCTCACTTGGTGTACCATATTACCTCACTTGGTGTACCATATTACCTCACTTGGTGTACCATATTACCTCACTTGGTGTACCATATTACCTCACTTGGTGTACCATATTACCTCACATGATGAACCTTATTACCTCACTTGGTGTACCATATTACCTCACTTGGTGTACCATATTACCTCACTTGGTGTACCATATTACCTCACTTGGTGTACCATATTACCTCACTTGGTGTACCATATTACCTCACTTGGTGTACCATATTACCTCACTTGGTGTACCATATTACCTCACTTGGTGTACCATATTACCTCACTTGGTGTACCATATTACCTCACTTGGTGTACCATATTACCTCACTTGGTGTACCATATTACCTCACTTGGTACCATATTACCTCACTTGTGTACCATATTACCTCACTTGTGTACCATATTACCTCACTTGGTGTACCATATTACCTCACTTGGTGTACCATATTACCTCACTTGATGTGTACCATATTACCTCACTTGGTGTACCATATTACCTCACTTGGTGTACCATATTACCTCACTTGGTGTACCATATTACCTCACTTGGTGTACCATATTACCTCACTTGGTGTACCATATTACCTCACTTGGTGTACCATATTACCTCACTTGGTGTACCATATTACCTCACTTGGTGTACCATATTACCTCACTTGGTGTACCATATTACCTCACTTGGTGTACCATATTACCTCACTTGGTGTACCATATTACCTCACTTGGTGTACCATATTACCTCACTTGGTGTACCATATTACCTCACTTGGTGTACCATATTACCTCACTTGGTGTACCATATTACCTCACTTGGTGTACCATATTACCTCACTTGGTGTACCATATTACCTCACTTGGTGTACCATATTACCTCACTTGGTGTACCATATTACCTCACTTGGTGTACCATATTACCTCACTTGGTGTACCATATTACCTCACTTGGTGTACCATATTACCTCACTTGGTGTACCATATTACCTCACTTGGTGTACCATATTACCTCACTTGGTGTACCATATTACCTCACTTGGTGTACCATATTACCTCACTTGGTGTACCATATTACCTCACTTGGTGTACCATATTACCTCACTTGGTGTACCATATTACCTCACTTGGTGTACCATATTACCTCACTTGGTGTACCATATTACCTCACTTGGTGTACCATATTACCTCACTTGGTGTACCATATTACCTCACTTGGTGTACCATATTACCTCACTTGGTGTACCATATTACCTCACTTGGTGTACCATATTACCTCACTTGTGTACCATATTACCTCACTTGGTGTACCATATTACCTCACTTGGTGTACCATATTACCTCACTTGGTGTACCATATTACCTCACTTGGTGTACCATATTACCTCACTTGGTGTACCATATTACCTCACTTGGTGTACCATATTACCTCACTTGGTGTACCATATTACCTCACTTGGTGTACCATATTACCTCACTTGGTGTACCATATTACCTCACTTGGTGTACCATATTACCTCACTTGGTGTACCATATTACCTCACTTGGTGTACCATATTACCTCACTTGGTGTACCATATTACCTCACTTGGTGTACCATATTACCTCACTTGGTGTACCATATTACCTCACTTGGTGTACCATATTACCTCACTTGGTGTACCATATTACCTCACTTGGTGTACCATATTACCTCACTTGGTGTACCATATTACCTCACTTGGTGTACCATATTACCTCACTTGGTGTACCATATTACCTCACTTGATGTACCATATTACCTCACTTGGTGTACCATATTACCTCACTTGGTGTACCATATTACCTCACTTGGTGTACCATATTACCTCACTTGGTGTACCATATTACCTCACTTGGTGTACCATATTACCTCACTTGGTGTACCATATTACCTCACTTGGTGTACCATATTACCTCACTTGGTGTACCATATTACCTCACTTGGTGTACCATATTACCTCACTTGATGTACCATATTACCTCACTTGGTGTACCATATTACCTCACTTGGTGTACCATATTACCTCACTTGATGTACCATATTACCTCACTTGGTGTACCATATTACCTCACTTGGTGTACCATATTACCTCACTTGGTGTACCATATTACCTCACTTGGTGTACCATATTACCTCACTTGGTGTACCATATTACCTCACTTGGTGTACCATATTACCTCACTTGGTGTACCATATTACCTCACTTGGTGTACCATATTACCTCACTTGGTGTACCTTATTACCTCACTTGGTGTACCATATTACCTCACTTGGTGTACCATATTACCTCACTTGGTGTACCATATTACCTCACTTGGTGTACCATATTACCTCACTTGGTGTACCATATTACCTCACTTGGTGTACCATATTACCTCACTTGGTGTACCATATTACCTCACTTGGTGTACCATATTACCTCACTTGGTGTACCATATTACCTCACTTGATGTACCATATTACCTCACTTGGTGTACCATATTACCTCACATGATGAACCTTATTACCTCACTTGGTGTACCATATTACCTCACTTGGTGAACCTTATTACCTCACTTGGTGTACCATATTACCTCACTTGGTGTACCATATTACCTCACTTGGTGTACCATATTACCTCACTTGGTGTACCTTATTACCTCACTTGGTGTACCATATTACCTCACTTGATGTACCATATTACCTCACTTGGTGTACCATATTACCTCACTTGGTGTACCATATTACCTCACTTGGTGTACCATATTACCTCACTTGGTGTACCATATTACCTCACTTGGTGTACCATATTACCTCACTTGGTGTACCATATTACCTCACTTGGTGTACCATATTACCTCACTTAAGAGCTGTCACTTAACCTATATTATTGCCTCATGAAGAAACTAAAGATATCCACCAAGTAAGTAAAGATATCCACCAAGTAACTAAAGATATCCACCAAGTAAGTAAAGATATCCACCAAGTAAGTAAAGATATCCACCAAGTAACTAAAGATATCCACCAAGTAACTAAAGATATCCACCAAGTAACTAAAGATATCCACCAAGTAAGTAAAGATATCTACCAAGTAACTAAAGATATCCACCAAGTAACTAAAGATATCCACCAAGTAACTAAAGATATCCACCAAGTAAGTAAAGATATCTACCAAGTAACTAAAGATATCCACCAAGTAACTAAAGATATCCACCAAGTAACTAAAGATATCCACCAAGTAAGTAAAGATATCCATCAAGTAACTAAAGATATCCACCAAGTAACTAAAGATATCCACCAAGTAAGTAAAGATATCCACCAAGTAAGTAAAGATATCCACCAAGTAACTAAAGATATCCACCAAGTAAGTAAAGATATCCACCAAGTAAGTAAAGATATCCACCAAGTAACTAAAGATATCCACCAAGTAACTAAAGATATCCACCAAGTAACTAAAGATATCCACCAAGTAAGTAAAGATATCCATCAAGTAACTAAAGATATCCACCAAGTAACTAAAGATATCCACCAAGTAAGTAAAGATATCCACCAAGTAACTAAAGATATCCACCAAGTAAGTAAAGATATCCACCAAGTAAGTAAAGATATCCACCAAGTAACTAAAGATATCCACCAAGTAACTAAAGATATCCACCAAGTAAGTAAAGATATCCACCAAGTAAGTAAAGATATCCACCAAGTAACTAAAGATATCCACCAAGTAAGTAAAGATATCCACCAAGTAACTAAAGATATCCACCAAGTAACTAAAGATATCCACCAAGTAACTAAAGATATCCACCAAGTAACTAAAGATATCCATCAAGTAACTAAAGATATCCACCAAGTAACTAAAGATATCCACCAAGTAACTAAAGATATCCACCAAGTAACTAAAGATATCCACCAAGTAACTAAAGATATCCACCAAGTAACTAAAGATATCCACCAAGTAAGTAAAGATATCCATCAAGTAACTAAAGATATCCACCAAGTAACTAAAGATATCCACCAAGTAAGTAAAGATATCCACCAAGTAAGTAAAGATATCCACCAAGTAACTAAAGATATCCACCAAGTAAGTAAAGATATCCACCAAGTAAGTAAAGATATCCACCAAGTAACTAAAGATATCCACCAAGTAACTAAAGATATCCACCAAGTAAGTAAAGATATCTACCAAGTAACTAAAGATATCCACCAAGTAACTAAAGATATCCACCAAGTAACTAAAGATATCCACCAAGTAAGTAAAGATATCTACCAAGTAACTAAAGATATCCACCAAGTAACTAAAGATATCCACCAAGTAACTAAAGATATCCACCAAGTAAGTAAAGATATCCATCAAGTAACTAAAGATATCCACCAAGTAACTAAAGATATCCACCAAGTAAGTAAAGATATCCACCAAGTAAGTAAAGATATCCACCAAGTAACTAAAGATATCCACCAAGTAAGTAAAGATATCCACCAAGTAAGTAAAGATATCCACCAAGTAACTAAAGATATCCACCAAGTAACTAAAGATATCCACCAAGTAACTAAAGATATCCACCAAGTAAGTAAAGATATCCATCAAGTAACTAAAGATATCCACCAAGTAACTAAAGATATCCACCAAGTAAGTAAAGATATCCACCAAGTAAGTAAAGATATCCACCAAGTAACTAAAGATATCCACCAAGTAAGTAAAGATATCCACCAAGTAAGTAAAGATATCCACCAAGTAACTAAAGATATCCACCAAGTAACTAAAGATATCCACCAAGTAAGTAAAGATATCCACCAAGTAACTAAAGATATCCATCAAGTAACTAAAGATATCCACCAAGTAAGTAAAGATATCCACCAAGTAAGTAAAGATATCCACCAAGTAACTAAAGATATCCACCAAGTAACTAAAGATATCCACCAAGTAACTAAAGATATCCACCAAGTAACTAAAGATATCCATCAAGTAACTAAAGATATCCACCAAGTAACTAAAGATATCCACCAAGTAACTAAAGATATCCACCAAGTAACTAAAGATATCCACCAAGTAAGTAAAGATATCCACCAAGTAAGTAAAGATATCCACCAAGTAAGTAAAGATATCCACCAAGTAAGTAAAGATATCCATCAAGTAACTAAAGATATCCACCAAGTAAGTAAAGATATCCACCAAGTAAGTAAAGATATCCACCAAGTAAGTAAAGATATCCACCAAGTAAGTAAAGATATCCACCAAGTAACTAAAGATATCCACCAAGTAAGTAAAGATATCCACCAAGTAAGTAAAGATATCCACCAAGTAAGTAAAGATATCCACCAAGTAAGTAAAGATATCCACCAAGTAAGTAAAGATATCCACCAAGTAACTAAAGATATCCACCAAGTAAGTAAAGATATCCACCAAGTAACTAAAGATATCCACCAAGTAACTACCTCTCGTAATCGCCGTGTGTTTATCATGTGTAACGCAGAACTTGCATTTTAAGAATAAATTATTTTAATTATTTGTAATTATTTTATTAATTAATATGTAAATAATTTTTAGTGTAAACACAGACATGTGCGAGTGTGTAAGGACCGGGAGCTGGTGCTGAAAATATGAGATAATTGTTAATTGATAATAACATTGAGAGAAAATGTGAGATAATTGTTATTGAAAAATGTGGTAATGTGTAAAATTGTGCTTAGTAATTGTTGCGTTTAGTGGTGAACCGGTGAGAAGGTGGCGGGTGAACAGTGTTACTGGCAGTGATTACAGTGCTACAGTGTTACTGGCAGTGATTACAGTGCTGCAGTATTGTCATAATAAGACTGACAGACCAGGAAATATAATATTCCAACCCGCGACTAAGTTTTAATAATAAAAGTCAGTGTAAAATAAGCTGACAGAGATATAGAAAACGAGGAAGGAAAGGGGGTTGCCCGGGCTTATGGAACTTAAACCTCCTAAAGAGAACTCTGGTTGTTGAACAAGACTGTTACTTGCATACAGGGGAACAAGGTGCCCAACCACTCTCTGCTGAAACAAACAACCGACCTCGGCAGCCACACTCCCGCTACCGTTGGTCGACAAGCAATGGACACTGGAGTGCTTGCAATTTACTCAGGAGATCACCCTGTACGCCTCTTGATCTCAGAGAGGGGTTCAGCATCACACGTTTAGGGGTGCGGCTCCAACACTGGCCTCGTTGTCTTGTGTACACACCCTACTTGAGCCGCCGTGACTCCCCACTCTCTCCTTGTTTGGAATGATCTCCTAAATCCCCCTTTTGTGAATTAGTATTTTCTGCCACCCTGTCTGCAGCCATGATCCCTTCTATACCTCTCTCTCTCCTGCTTTCTGGGAAGCCTCACCAAGACAAGAGCAAAAGCCAGCTAACAATACACATTTAATAAACGAAAAAACATACACAATACATGATATAAAAAAAATAAAACATTATCATACAACACTCTAAGCTGCTACAACCCGGTAGCAATCCAATATCATATCCTGGCTTCACCAACCGTCCATATCAAGTGGCTGCCCAACTCTTGGCTTACCACTTACTACTCCCTCACCAAATGGGGTTGAAATCTTGTCACAACAATATTATACACTCAGCCCTAAAAGTATGTAAAACTCAGCCTGGGGCTGAAACACCAGAAACATCTACATAAATATTCCCCAATACAAGAAGAAATCAATCTCTCACCTTACACTGCGTCTTACACGCCAATAAACATTCAAGCACTCCCCTTATACAATCCTGTGTATCCACCATAAACCTCTGTTCTGCTCCTAGAGGCTCACTACCATGTACATCTCTAGGTTCTCCAAAATATTGAACAAAACACTTCTGCAGTTCTCCCAAAACTGCTGCACAACGAAGTCCTCTTCAAACACCAGTGAAGCTTCCTCACTGATTCCACTGAGACACGTGAAGCTCCTCTTCACTGCTTCTTTACACAGCTTGAGGTCAACTCCTCACTATGAAGTTCTGCTCTCCCATAGAGTTCAGCATACACTTCTCCAGCCTCGAAGTTTCTTCATTAACTTCTTCGCTGGACTCGAAGTTCTTCCAACAACTCCTCCCCAAACAAACCAATTATTCCACTGTCATGCCAATACAAATGATTCCCTAGTAAAACATAATTAAATGTATGCACAGAGAATAAAACTTCTCCATCCGAAATCTCTTTAAAACTATTGCGTCGCAGAGAAGGTCTTCCCCCACCCTGGGCGAGTCCATCTTTTACGTGTCGAGACATGCTGCTGGCCACCGCTGCCAGCCGGGGAGGCTTCCCCCCCTCTCAGTCATCCACTGACCATCGTCGAGGGAGGACGTATCACTCCCTCCCTCCAAGATGTTCTCCTATCTCTACTCTCTTATTTCAGCTTACTGCCTTAATAAAATATCTATCCTACATGCATAAACATCTGCCATGATCGCTGGGCACACGATCAAACACTGGTAACCAATGCAACAATTTTTATATTAGCTTACCACAGAATTTGTATCTGGAGGGCGCTTGATCAGCTGCGGCTCCAAGATGTCGTCCCACTATAACATCCAATCAGGTCTCTTTTAGACTGCCTCACAGCTTCTGCTCCTGACTTGAGGACATTAAATCTTCTCACAGGCCTTCACACATAAACGCCTGCCTGATTCCCTCCACTTGAAGGAGTACACAATTATGGGGTCCTCCTCTACCAGGAGCTCCGCGGAGCGCGACCTTCCCTCACGACTTCTGTTGCTCAAGTAAAGGTCAAGATGTCCCACGAGCCTCACATAATGTCCGCAAAGTATTGACATCTCACTCCATGTCAATTATTTACATGTTCATCCTCTGCTCATATATATATTGGTGTATACTGGCAGCAGGTTTTCTTTCAAACATGTTTCATTGAATATGACCGCATATTCTGTATTTATTATTTTCTGGTTTAGGGCTTCTATCCCTCTAACTATTTCTTAGCATCAGGGCTTAATTGAAATAGGAGTTCTCCAAAACTCATTTTCGTACTTTTAAGGTGAAGAAAAGAAGTGATTTACTATAGAGTGTATTACACTTATTTGTATAATTTGCACGACGTTTCGAACCTCCATGGTTCATTCTCAAGTGAACTGATCTTAAAATACTAGTTGATTTTATACCCGCATTAGGTCAGGTGATAATACAATGAAGGTGAAAACATGGGGGGATACATAAGGGATAAACATAGGGGCTGCAGAAGGCTTATTGGCCCATACGAGGCATCTCCTATCTAAACACAAAGATTAATCCAGTGTAATTGGCCTGTTATGTTGGACATTGTCTTCTGTGTTGGCATCGATATGTTCTTGTCTTGTCCTTACTCTCATGGTGGGTAGAGGGCCAATTACACTGGATTAATCTTTGTGTTTAGATAGGAGATGCCTCGTATGGGCCAATAAGCCTTCTGCAGCCCCTATGTTTATCCCTTATGTATCCCCCCATGTTTTCACCTTCATTGTATTATCACCTGACCTAATGCGGGTATAAAATCAACTAGTATTGTAAGATCTGTTCACTTGAGAATGAACCATGGAGGTTCGAAACGTCGTGCAAATTATACAAATAAGTGTAATACACTCTATAGTAAATCACTTCTTTTCTTCACCTTAAAAGTACGAAAATGAGTTTTGGAGAACTCCTATTTCAATTAAGCCCTGATGCTAAGAAAATAGTTAGAGGGATAGAAGCCCTAAACCAGAAAATAATAAATACAATATATATATATATATATATATATATATATATGTCGTACCTAGTAGCCAGAACTCACTTCTCAGCCTACTATTCAAGGCCCGATTTGCCTAATAAGCCAAGTTTTCCTGAATTAATATATTTACTATAATTTTTTTCTTATGAAATGATAAAGCAACCCTTTTCTCTATGTATGAGGTCAATTTTTTTTTATTGGAGTTAAAATTAACGTAGATATATGACCGAACCTAACCAACCCTACCTAACCTAACCTAACCTATATTTATAGGTAAGGTTAGGTTAGGTAGCCAAAAAAAGCTAGGTTAGGTTAGGTTAGGTAGACGAAAAAACATTAATTCATGAAAACTTGGCTTATTAGGCAAATCGGGCCTTGAATAGTAGGCTGAGAAGTGCGTTCTGGCTATTAGGTACGACATATATATATATATATATATATATATATATATATATATATATATATATATATATATATATATATATATATATATAATATTAGTTTCCTCTGACCTCTTAATTAGGTCTCGTATGTGGAATAACTCTCATATTGGTAGACTCGTTCTTCAGGCTACCTGGGTCATAACAATCGATTCACGGAACATGGTCCATTTCCCTCTACATCTTAAAGGATTCAGAAAGACATAATCAGTATTACAGTTGTGTTACGGCCACTATGGGTCACAACCGGGTTCTTTGATGGTAGAACCAAAATATCTCTCTGGTATCCGACCCCAAGTCGGTAGTACGCTTTCAAGAGTGGCTATGTAGTGCATAAAAAAGGAGAGGATGAACAAAACACTGTTCCTCTCGTCAATGTATTAAATATCTTTCCACTACTGTTAAGTATATATATATATATGTACACCGTCACCATAAATAATATATAAAGAACAGATAGGCTATTACTACACCTATGTACAATCCTTTTGCTCAGGATATCAAACGTGTTCACGTGCAGAGTTCATCACTCCCCAGTATTTCTTCACTGTCCAGTAGCGTATCCAACCTTACTGGGAAGAACACCGGGTAGTTCACCTGTACGTGGGCCAGCCCACTGACAGTGTCATGAGGTGCCTGTACCCCCAAGACCACTCTCCAGCTACTGGCTGGCAGAGTACCTCAGCCACACGCTGAGCGGGGTCACAATACATGGGTAGCGATCCCCTGCCAGCAGTCTCTATAGGTGCCTCTTGACCTCATCTCTTATAATTTCGAACCCTTCCAAGGCCGCCTGGTTTACTGCCACCTCTCCTTGCTCTATTGTGAAGACCTGGAGCCTTTTGTGTTGTTCCTCACACACCTCTTTGTCATTCTCTCTGTACCTGTCCTCACCCGTTCTAAGTTTCATCACCTGTTCCTTCACTGTTGCTTTCCTCCTGATGTGACTGTGTAGTAGCTTTGGTTCGGTCGTGGCTTTGCTTGCTATGAAAATGATAATTTTCATACTTTTTCTCAGCTTTTCTTTTCACACTTAACATACTCGTTTCTGGTTCTCTGGTATCTCTCTCTACTGTCTAGTGTTCTGTTATTTCAGAAGTTTCAACACGCTGTTTTTTTCAGCTTCTTTGCTTTCATACATTCCCTATTAAACCACGGATTCTTCTTTTGCTTCTCGGTTTTTTCCTGTCGGGCCTGGATAAACCTGTTTACTGCCTC